TTTACAAGAAATGTTTTATAGGTTACAATAGGCTATAACTTAAGTCTTATTATGCATAAAGTTTATAGCACATTATACATTTTTACATAAGATTTAATATTAGAAGGATCTAAACATAACAAAGCTTGGACCTAACAATAATGCAACCAACAAAGTAAGGCAGCTTACACTGAAGTGACATGTGTAAGTAAAATAAGCCCCGATTTAAAAGATGCCCAAAATGGGAGAGAAAAATCCCCAGGAATTGAAAGAATGCCTTTCAACTTCAGTTAAAATGCCAGGAATTCACTTAGCTCAAACATAGTGGGTATGAGTGATCATGTATTTGAACCTCATTCACTGCAGAAGACCAGTGATTTACCTGTAGGATTAGGCCAATGACACCCAGCATGCAATGCAAAACCAAAAACTTTATTTAAAAAACAAATAGTTTGTGAATGAAACAAGGTGCTGAGAGCTAGCAGCAAGATTCCAGCATCAGCTCACACTGACTTTTAGAAGTAAGGACTTGCTGTCAAACACAGGTCTCTCCCACCAAGCTCAGAAAAAAGATTTTTTGGCCTTCTGACTGCCTCATTAGGTAGAACTGTAACCCATCTCAACCTACTTGCAGGCAATTCCATTTTTCTTTTGTAAATGTGGCTGAGAATTGTGTGCTGCACAAATGCAATAATTTCAGAGGGGCTATAACTCTGAATTTAGAGGGGTAGTTTCCTCTTTCTCAAAAGAATAGTAATTCTTACATACTTTTTAGGTTAGTAGTTAAAATTTAAGGTACTTGAATGTACACACATACTTTCCAATAGCTATCATATTGGAGAGATGTAATGGGAGAATAGTATTTTTCTGGCTTTGTAAGTACTTATTAATACATAATAATAAAAGCCAGAACTATTAATCTACTACATAAGCAGCATCTGAAAAACGTGTAAGTCATCCTAAGCACTGCCAAGAATGAGGCAGTTGTTCTCAGGCTCCTGACAACTATGTCATTTCCCATGGTAGCCACTGAATTCCCAGTTTACAAAGCCGGGCCAATGACGAGCATACCATAAAACACTATCAAATCTGAACTCCACCTGTATTGAATACACAAGACAGAACAGTGCGAGAAATAGGGAGTGCTTTCCAAAACATTTTAGCCTTTTTAAAGTAGAAATAAGACAGCAGAAAACCCAGGACAATGTCTTTTCATGCTGCTGTTTTGAACCAGCCATCACAACCTTCAAAGAAAAGAGTTCATGTTATTACTGACACTGAGAGACTCATCAGAAAGACAATTTTTGTTACAAACAGCAAACAAAAAGGAATTTTGTTAGATTATGCAATGCAGGCCAGGTATGGTGGCACATGCCTTTCTCACCAGAACTTGGGAGGCAGAGACAGGAGGATCTCTTGTGAGTTTTAGGTCAGCTTGGTCTACATAGCAAGTTCCAGAACAGACAGGACTACATAGAGACCCTGTCTCAAAAAGCAAAAACCAAACCAAACTGAAAATTATCTGATGACTTAAATGAAGCTAGCCTATCTCCATCACTGTCAGAACAAACCACACCCAGTGAACAGGAGCTTGGCTGGAAAAGACAACATTAACACTTCGAAGCAATAACCCTTAAAATCAGATTATTTTCACAAAGAATGTATTTTGACTATTTTGTTTACATACAGCACAAAACTGAAGTTGAATGTAAAGTAATAAACATTCATATTCATTCAATTTTTTACATAACTTAGAATTTCTGAATTACATTCGCAAATTCAACATATTAACAAAGATAAAGTGCTCAACAAAAGGAAAAAAAAGATACAAATAAACTAAATAGAAAAGAACTTTGTTTCTAACAAAGTGGTTTTATAAGGACATTTAGAAACTATGGCCAGGCCAAGCTTCCCACCCAAGAATGTAACCCCCAAACAGTCTTATCTTTTAGAAATGGGTTCCTTAAATACAACAATTACATGCATTCTTATGGGCAACATCAATTTAGAGTTTCTGAAGAGTCTAGGTTTTGCAAATAATGAGAACCTCTTGAGAGGGTGGCTTTAATTATCATGCACACTACTGGCCTTGGCAATGACTTTATCCAAAGGAGGGATGCACTACTTCCCCACCTACTTAGAGTAGCTGAGAAAGGAAATGCCATGCTAACCTGTGTGACCTGTGTACTAGAAGCTTGGAGTCGGCTAGTTAAAAGGCAACATTTGGGGGAATGGTGGTGCTTTAGATCTCTGTTGTGTGCGTTTCACCACCAAAACCATGGCTAACAATGCTCTTAGCATTTTAAAGTTATCAGAATTTTTATAAAGATTCTCTGTATATATAAAAGATAATAATGAGTTAAAAAGTGTTTCTTGGTAATCTTTCAAATTTGACTGCACAAAACTCAGAAACTTTAGAAACTAAGTTTCTGGAATTAATTTTATTCCCATGAAGGAAATTCATTAGTTTGGAGATTGCTAACTACTAGGATTATCACAGGCAGTTTTATCAGCATCAGATATTAGAAAAATCCCATACACTACAAGAGATGACATGATGCCAACATACAGTATTTTTGCAATAGTCAGTAACAGCTTGTCTGTGTAAATAAATTGGTCCAAATAAATGATCTTATTTCTATTAAAAAAAAAAAGAAGTCCCCACCCACCCCATCACATTCTTTTAAAATTCACCAAGTTTTCATGGACACACAATATTAAGTAATTCTAGCATACCTTTAATCTTGGTATGCAGGAAGTAGAGGCAGGTGGATTTGAGTTCAAGGTTTGCCCCATCTACATAGCCAGTTCCAGGCCAGTCAGGGCTACATAGATGAGACTCTGTCTCAAAAACAAAAACAGAAGTAGTTCTAGAAAAACACTAACACAGTGGGCACTATTTAAAATGTACATCAACTGAAGACTAAATAATTAAAAATAAAAATAAACAAAAGCGGGCAAAATATATCTCCCAATAAATTCTTGCACTGATTTCACAATGAAATAACACACTAGATGTATCAGTTATAAAGAAAAAAAAACATGTATTAAAATGACTTTCATCTATTTGTTAGTTTTTAATGTGTTTACTAAAAATGTAAAATTATACATGGTTTATATTTTATTTCTATTAAATGGCACTGTTTAAGAACACAGACCTTAGGAAGGTGGTGGTGGTGCACAAATCTCAGTACTTGGGAGGCAGAGGCAGGCAGATCTGATTTCAAGGCCAGCCTGGTTTAGACAGTGAGTTCCAGGAGTTACACAGAGAACACTGTCTTGAAAAACCAAGGTGGGGTGGGGGGGTGG